TGAAAACGGAGTCGGATATATATACATAAAGTAAAGCGAGATGGGTCACAATACTCATGAAAGTGTGTACCGAATGAGGTTGTGTTCCACACATGCAGCTTCGAGGCTGGGTTCGTGTACTGGTATGCAATTGGTTGAGGAAGTAGACACTGATACCTGATTAACATATGCCTCGGAATTGAGCCAATTGAGTCGGATGAATACGGATTCGGATATATATAAATTAAAGCGAGATGGGTCACAATACCTATAAAGTATGTACGAAATAAGGTTGTGTTCCACACCTTCACGTCGAGGCGTGATCCGTGTACTGGTATGCAATTGGTTGATGAAGTGGACACTCCTACCTGGTTAGCATGTGCCACGAAGTTGAGCCAATTGAGTCGGATGAAAACGCAATCGGATAATTATATAAAGTGAGCCGAGATGGGTCACAATACGTAAAAAAGTATGTACAAAGTTATGTTGTGTTCCACAAATGCAGCGTCGGGGCTGGATCCGTGTACTGAAAAGGAAATCTTTGACGAAATGGATACTGCAACCTGGTTAGCAAGTGCCACGGAGATGAATCAAATGAGTCGGATGAAAACGGAATGGGTTATATGTAAATTGACGCGAGATGGGTCACAATACTCATAAAAGTATGTACCAAATTAGGGTGTGTTCCACAGAAACAGCGTCGAGGCTGGGTTCGTGTGCTGGTATGGAATTGGTTGTGGAAATGGACACTGCGATCTCCTTAGCATGTGCCACGAAGTTGAGCCAATTGAGTCGGAAGAAAACGTAATCGGATATATATATAAAGAAAGGCGAGATGGGTCACAATACTTCTAAGATTATGTACGAAATTAGGTTGTGTTCCACACATGCAGCTTCGAGGTTGGATCGTGTACTGAAAAGGAAATCTTTGACGAAATGGATACTGCTACCTGGTAAGCATGTGCCACGGAGTTGAGCCAATTGAGTCGGATGAAATCGGAATCGGATATATATATAAAGTGAGGCGAGATGGGTCACAATACTCACAAAAGTGTGTACCAAATTAGGTTGTGTACCACAGATGCAGCGTCGAGGCTGGGTTCGTGTGCTGGTGTGGAATTGGTTGAGGCAGTGGACACTGCAACCTGGTTAGCATGTGCCACGGAGTTGAGCCAATTGATTCCGATGAAATTGGATTCGGATATATATATATAAAGTAAGGGGAGATGCGTCACAAAACCTAAAAATAATGTATGAAATAAGGTGGAGTTCCACACCTACAGATCGAGGCGTGATCCGTGTACTGGTATGGAATTCGTTGAGGAAGTGGACGGACACTGCTACCTGGTTAGCATGTGCCACGGAGTTGAGCCAATTGAGTCGGATGATTGCGGAATCGGATACATATAAATTAAGACGAAGAGGGTCACAATACTTATAAAAGAGTGTACCATATTAGGCTGTGTTCCACAGTTGCAGCTTCGAGGCTGGATCCGTGTACTAAAAAGAAATCTTTGAGGAAATGGATACTGCTACCTGGTTAGCATGTGCCACGGAGTTGAGTCAATTGAGTCGGATGAAAACGGAATCGGATATATATATGTATATATAAAGCAATTTGAGATGGGTCACAATACGTATAAAAATATGTACCAAATTATCTTGTGTTCCATACATGCAGCTTCGAGGCTGGATCCGTGTACTGGTATGGAACTGGGTGAATACGTTGACACTGCTACCCGGTCAGCATGTGCCACGGAGTTGAGCCAATTGGGTTCGATGAAAACGGAATCGTATAGATGTATAAAGTAAGGTGTGGTGTGTTACATTACTGAAAAAATTATTTACCAATGTGTTTTGTGTTCCGCATAGGGAGCTTTGAGCCTGGATTCGTTTTCTATAAAGGATTTGGTTGAGGAAGTGGACACTACAAACTGGGTAGCATGTGACACGGAGTTGAGACAATTGAGTCGGATGAAAACGGAATCGGATATATATATAAAGCAAGGCGAGATGGGGCACAATACTTCTGAATGTATGTACCAAGATAGGTTGTGTTCCACAGATGTAGCTTCGCGGCAGGATACGTGAACTGTGATCCAATTGCTTGAGAAAGTGGACACCGCTACCCGGTTACAATGTGGCACCAAGTTGAGCCAATTGATTCAGATGAAAACGGAATCTGATATATAACATTTAAAGCAAGATGGGTTGCAATACTAATAAAAGTATGTGCCAAACTATGTTGTGTTCCACAGGTGCACCTTCGAGTCTGGATCCGTGCACTGGGATGCAACCGGGTGAATACGTTGACACTGCTACCTGGTTAGCATGTGCCACGGAGTTGAGACAATTGAGTGGGACGAAAACGGAATCTGATATATATAATGTAAGGCAAGATGGGTCACAATACTCAAGAAAGTATGTGCCAAATTAGATTGTGTTCCACAGATGCAGCGTCGAGGCTGGATCCGTGCACTGGTATGGATTTGGTTGAGGAAGTTGACACTCCTACCTGGTTAGCATCTTCCACGGAGTTGAGCCAATTGAGTCGGACGAAAATGGAAGGTGATATACATAATTTAAAACAAGATGGGTCACAATACATATAAAATTAGGTACCAAATTAGGTTGTGTTCCACAGATGCAGCTTCGAGACAGGATCCGTGTACCGGTATGAAATTGGTTGAGGAAGTGGACACTGCTACCTGGTAAGCATGTGCCACGGAGTTGAGCCAATTGAGTTCGATGAAAACGGAATCGTATATATATATAAAGTAAGGGGAGATGTGTCGCAATAATGAAAAAAGTATTTACCAATGTGTTATGTGTTCCGTAGAGGGAGCGTTTGCCTGGATTCGTGTTCTCTTAAGGTCTTGGTTGAGAAAGTGGACACTTCAACCTGGTTACCATGTGCCACGGAGTTGAGCCAATTGAGTCGGATGAAAACAGAATCGGATATATATATATACCGTAACGCGAGTTGGGTCGCAATAATTATGAAAAAATATACAAAATAAATAAGGNGGTTCCATAAACGCAGCTATGGGCCTGGATCCGTGTTCCCGTACGGAATTGTTTGAAGAAGTGGATACTGCTACCTGGTTAGCATGTGCCACGGAGTTGAGCCAATTGAGTCGGATGAAAACGGAATCTCATATATATAATTTAAAGCAAGATGGGTCGCAATACTAATAAAAGTATTTGCCAAAATAGGTTGTGTTCCACAGATGCACCTTCGAGGCTGGATCCGTGCACTGGTATGGAACTGGGTGAATACGTTGACACTGCTACCCGGTCAGCATGTGCCACGGAGTTGAGCCAATTGAGTCGGATGAAAACGGAATCGCATATATATATATAAAGCAAGGCGAGATGGCTCACAATACTTAAGAGAAAATTTATAAAATTACACTGGGTTCCACAGATGCAGCTTCGATCCTGGATCCGTGTACTGGTACGGAAATGGTTGAGGAAGTGGACACTGCTACCTGGGTAGCATGTGCCGCGGAGTTGAGCCAATTAATGTGGCTGAAAACGGATTCGTATATATATAAAGTAAGGCGAGATGGGTCACAATACTTATGAAATAACTTACAAAAAAAGACTGGGGTCCACAGACGCATCTTCTGGGCTGTATCCGTGTTCCGGTACGGAATTGGTTGAGGAAGTGGACACTGCTACCTGGTTAGCATGTGCCACGGAGTGGAGCAAATTGAGTCGGATGAAAACGGAATCGGATAAATATATTATCTAAGTCTAGATGGGTTACAATACTGATACACCTATGTACAGAATTAGGTTATTGTCCGCAGATGCAGGTTCGAGTCTGGATCCGTGACTGGTATGGAATGTGTTGAGGAAGTAGACAATGCTACCTGGTTAGCATGTGCCACGGAATTGAGCCAATTGAGTCGGCTGAAAACCGAATCGGCTATATATATAACGTAAGTCGAGATGGGTCACAATACTGACAAACGTATGTCCCAAATTAGGTTGTGTTCCACAGATGCAGCTTCGATGTTGGATCCGTGTACGGGTATGGAATTTGTTGAGGAAATGGACACTGCTACCTGGTTAGCATGTGCCACGGAGTTGAGCCAATTAAGTCGGCTGAAAACGCATTCGGATATATACATAAAGTAATGCGAAATGGGTCACATTAGTTATGAAAAATTTAAAAAACTACATTGTGTTACACAGATGCAGCTTCGATGTTGGTTCCGTGTACTGGTATGGAATTGTTTGAGGAAGTGGACAAAGCTACCTGATTAGCATGTGCCACGGAGTGGAGCAAACTGAGTCGGACGAAAACGGAATCGGATGTATATATAATGTAAGTCGAGGTGGGTCACAATGCTGATAAACGTATGTCGCAAATTAGGATGTGATCCACACATGCAGCCCCGAGGCTGGATCCGTGTACGGGTATGGATTTTGTTGAGGAAATGGACACTGCTACATGGTTAGCATGTGCCACGGACTTGAGTCAATTGAGTCGGCTGAAAACCCAATCGGATATATATATATATATATAGCAAAACGAGATGAGTCGCAATATTTAAGAAAAAATATACAAAATTAGGTTGTGTTCAACAGATGCAGCTTCGAGCCTGGATCCGTGTACTGGTATGGAATTGGCTGAGGAAGAAGACACTGCTACCTGGTTAGCATGTGCCACGGAGTTGAGCCAATTGAGTCGGACGAAACCGGAATCGAATATATGTAAATTCAGGCAAGATGGGTCGCAAAACTTATGAAATGATCTACAAAATTACATTCGGTTCCACAGATGCAGCTTCCAGCCGGGATCCGTGTAATGGTATGGAATTGGTAGACGAAGTGGACACTGCTACCTGGTTAGCATGAGCTACGGATTGGAACAAATTGAGTTGAATGAAAACGGGATCGGATATATATAATCCAAGAATAGATGGACCACAAGACTGATAAACGTATGTACCAAATTAAGTTGTGTTCCGCAGATGCAGTTTCGAGTCTGTATCCGTGTACTGGTATGGAAAGCGCTGGGGACATCGACGCTGCTACCTGGTTAGAATGTGTCACGGAGTTTATCCGATTGCGTCAGATGAAAACGGAATCCTATATATATAAAGCAAGGCGAGATGGGTCACAATACCTATGAAAGTATGTACCAAATAAGGTTGTGTTCCACAGATGCAGCTTCGAGGCTGGATCCGTGTGCTGGTTTGGAGTTGGTTGAGGAAGTGGACATTGCCACCTGCTTAGCATGTGCCACGGAGCTGAGCCAATTGAGTCGGATGAAAACGCAATCGGATAAATATAAAGAAATGNAAGAAATGCGAGATGGGTCACAATACTTAGAAATGGTGTACCAAATTAGGTTGTGTTCCGCAGATGCAGCTTCGATGCTGTAAGCTGTATACTGGTACGCAATAAGTTGAGGAATTCAACACTGCTACCTGGTTAGCATGTGCCGCGGAGCTGAGTCAATTGATTCGCATGAAAACGGATTCGTACATATTTATAAAGAAAGGCGAGATTGGTCACAATACTTGGTACACTCGGTACCAAATTAAGTTGTATTCCACAGATGCAGCATCGAGGCTGCATCCGTGTGCTGGTATGCAATTGGTTGAGGAAGTGCACACTGCTACCTGGTTAGCATGTGCCACGGAGTTTAGCCAATTGATTCGGATGACAACGGAATCCGATATATCCAACTTAAGGCGAGATGGGTCAGAATAGTTATGAAGTTATGAACCAAATAAGGTTGTGTTCCACAGATGCAGCATCGAGGCTGGATCCGTGTGCTGGTATGGAATTGGTTGAGGAATTGGACACTGGTACCTGGTTATCATGTGCCACGGAGTTGAACTAATTCAGTCGAATGAAAACGGAATCGGATATATATATAAAGGAAAGCGAGATGGGTCATAATACCGAGAAAACGTGTACCAAATTTGGTGGTGTTCCACCGACGCAGCTTCGAGGCTCGATCCGTATACTGGTGTGCATTTGGTTGAAAAAGTATACACTGCCACCTGTTAAGCAAGTGCCACGGAGTTGAGCACATTGAGTCGGATGAAAACGGAATCGGATGTATATATAAAGTAAGGCGAGATGGGTCACAGGACTGACAAAAGTAGGTAACAAATTCCGTTGCTTTCCACAGATGCAGCATCGAGGCTGCATCCGTATGCTCCTTTCGAATTGGTTGAGGAAATGGACACTGCTACCTGGTTAGCATGTGCCACGGAGTTGAGCCAATTGAGTCGGGTGGAAACGAAATGGGATACATAAATGAATTAAGGCGAGATGGGGCACAATACTTATGAAAGTTTGTACCAAATTAGGATGTGTTCCACAGATGCAGCGTCGAGGCTGGATCCCTGTATTGGTATGGAAGTGGTTGAGGAAGTGGTCACTGCTACCTGGTTAGCAGGTGCCGTGGAGTTGAGCAAATTGAATCGGATGAAATCGGAATCGGATATATCTAAAGCGGGGCGAGATGTGTCACAATACTTATAAAAGTATGTACCAAATTAGGTTGTGTTCCACAGATGAAGCTTCGAGGCCCTATCCTTGTACTGGTATGGAATTTGTTGTGAAACTGGACACTGCTACCTGCTTAGCATGTGCTACGGAGTTGAGCCAATTGATTGGGACGGAAAAGTAATGGGATACATATATAAAGTAACGCCAGATGGGTCAAAATACTTATAAAGTATGCACAGAATTAGGTTGCGTTCCACAGATGCAGCTTCGAGGCTGGATCCGTGTGCTTGTATGGAATTTGTTGAGGAAATGGACATCAGTACTTGGTTTGCATGTGCCACGGAGTTGAGCCAATTGAGTCGGATGAAAACCGAATCGGATACGTATATAAATTGGGGCTATATTAGTCAGAATGCTAATGAAATTACGTACCAAATTGGGATGTGTTCCACAGATGCAGCTTCGAAGCTCAATCTGTGTGCTGGTATGGAATTCGTTGAGTAAGTGGACACCGCTACCTGGCTAGCCTGTGCCGTGGAGTTGAGCAAATTGAATCGGATGAAAACGGAATCGTATATATCTAAAGCGGGGCGAGATGTGTCACAATACTTATAAAGTGTGTACCAAATTAGGTTGTGTTCCACAGATGAAGCTTCGAGGCTCTATCCTTGTACTGGTATGGAATTTGTTGTGAAAGTAGACACTGCTACCTGCTTAGCATGTGCTACGGAGTTGAGCCAATTGATTGAGACGGAAAAGTTATGGGATACATATATAAAGTAACGCCAGATGGGTCAAAATACTTATAAAGTATGCACAGAATTAGGTTGCGTTCCACAGATGCAGCTTCGAGGCTGGATCCGTGTGCTTGTATGGAATTTGTTGAGGAAATGGACATCACTACTTNTGGGATGTGTTCCACAGATGCAGCTTCGAAGCTCCATCTGTGTGCTAGTATGGAATTGGTTGAGGAAGTGGACACTGCTACCTGGTTAGCATGTGCCACGGAGTTGAAACAATTCTTCCGGATGAAAAGGTATTCGGATAGATATAGAAAGTAACGCAAGATGGGTCACAATACCTATGGAAGTATAAATCATATTGGGTTGTGTTCCACAGATGCAGCTTCGAGGCTGGATCCGTGTACTGGTGTGTATTTGGTGGAGGAAGTAGACACCGCAAACTGGTAAGCATGTGCCACGGAGTTGAGCCAATAGTGTCCGAAGAAAACGGAGTCGGATATATATATATATATAGTAAAGCCAGATGTGTCAC